GGCAATTGCATCGACCTCACCTCAAGCAGGTAGATCTTGTAACGAAAATGCCCCTCGTAGCATGTCTCAATCGCATAAGGACGTAGTCCAGTTAGTTTGGAGATGAGACCGTTCGCTTCTTCCACTCCCTTTATTAGACAGTAGTGACCATAGCGTAGGATTCTGCTCGGCCCAAACACGTTGGGAAATTCTACGAGATATTCGTTTGCAAAGTCAAAAATGGATCCAAATTCACTGTAAACCGGTGTGATGAATAACTTTTCTAACAGATTTGAACGGTATAAATGAACCAGTGCTACTGGCCATTTGTAGAGAAAATTAACGGGTTGATGTGGGGAAGCAGTGCCTTTCAAAAATTCAGCTGCTGTTTGGACAAAGAGAGGGATGGTAGGGAATGTTTGACATTCTTTCACCCTATCCTCTTTAATGTTCGTCGCCCATTCCACCGGTGATGGAACGCCCTCTCCCATATCAAGTACCTTAAGCACTTGAAAGGCCTCCACAAAGTCAGGACAAAAGTCTTCCAGGAAGTTCAATACGATGCCTGAAATGTAGTCCAAATAATTGGAATTCCTAATCGACAGCATTATGGCCTGGAGAACACGAAACGGATTAGTCTCCGCAACCCACTTGATCACTGTCCGCAATCTTGCTGACGTATAAGACTCAGAATCCGACACACAAACTTTGATTCTTGCAGGGAGTGTGGGAAACAAATTCGGTTCCATTAAAAGCGCAATCAGAGGCCGTAAAATGGCAGGTACAGTACCCAAGACCGACAATTCTGGATGAAACACCTTCATTATAAGGACCGGCTTGACTTCGTCATTTATACGATAAAAGTCTGTATTAAGGTCGACAAATTTCACAGCAGTTGCGGCAGGTGGTGGTATTTCTTTAGGTTTATCGGACGGGTAACTAAGAAGGTAATAGGATGATGACATGCTTGCAATAGGGCAACCAAGGTAATAGGAGGCTGCCAAATGTACTGGCATAGAATAATAGGCTGACTGCGCACAATGCAAGCCCATATCTTGAAGACATCTTGTCACAAATTGACGTCCACAGGGAAAAATTATTCCAATTGGTTGAAATTTTGCAGCTGCAACATCGAGGTTAGCTTCACTGTAATGCTTTTCAAGGCTAAGAGATCGGCTTGCGGTTGATCTGAGACCTAATGGCTAAAGGCCAGTAATGAAACGCAGACTTACGCTCCTATCTGATATCCCAGAAAAAATGAAGACAGGCTTTATGTTACATCTGAGAATATCTTTTAAGACTCTTTCAAACAGGATTTTAGCGTGCAGTAAATCCACACCATACGCGCCGGCATCATTAAATGCTTCATACCTCCTCAGACAATTGTATAAAAGTCCAATGGGGCTAAAAACCATGTATCGAGAAGATTGTGGTTCCCAAACATACGGCGAATTCCCAATGACAAGACTGATCAAACCTGCAACCATCACGAAGGTCGACCCACCACAGAGACCGCCTTAACCACACTGGCTCAACTAAGCAAGCGCTAGTACATGGGTGACAAGATAAACACACAAGTCATTCAAAACTCCAAAACTAACGCCAAAACTTTGCTGTATAAATTGCAGCAGTGTACCATCTCAAACTAAAAAAATACAAAACGAAAAAGTTTGTAATAAAACAGCAGGCAAAAAAGCGGTCTGCACATATTTGCATTTTCCCAATGCCTATGCTGCTTGTGTATGTCACGAATCGACAATGTAGTGGTTGTGTGAGGGCGAAGCTGTTTCCTTTCTCTAGCCTATGTTATGGTTGTGCCTTGCTACCATCCCCATTGAGTGTCTCCATTGCGTCTATTCCATCAACCACTGCAAAAGAAGCTTCTTATCCACCTATTGGGGACAGCGGCAGAGTCGAGTTGGTCAGCTGCGATCCACTCTACTTGCAAAAACCTTCACAATGGCTACAAAGAGGTCGCACGAAGTGGTTAATGAAGCGCCCCAAGACTTCCCATTAGAGTGGAAGAAGGCGGTAAGTGAAGCTAGATGTGTTCGAAATAGGACAAAGCAACTGAGCCTGACCATGGACCGGAGTCCAGCCTACCAGTAAAAGGTCTGGAGAAATCCTAGAGTGACCGTCGAACGTCTCTTTCTTCAAGCGGCGTCCTCAGCACTCCCTTGATACACCCTCGCACCACCCATCACAACATATTCGGTATTACAGTAAAGCACCCAAGAGCATCCGCGCCAATTGACAAATATCATAAGACTGAGGAACCATATTTGGACTCCTCAGCAGCTTTAATTGGACCTGGAATTACCTTCGGTCTGATAACCAGAATCGAAATGTACACATTTGTTAGCCATCAAGTGCTGCTAGGACCAAACGCTAGAACTGTGGTCTAAAACAGATATGCCGCAGAGAAAATGGGATAAGTCACTGCTCCGTACATAAGGAAAACCGCACTGTCATTTCCGATACGAATCCTTTCCAGATGGTTCACAGTGGTGTCGCTTCAGTAGTTAATAGCTTATCTGTGGAACACAGAGATAAGGTGAAGCGAAGTGCGGACGTCGGTCTGAGCCCTTTCGTTGTGAGGGCTTCAGAGAGTTCCTGCCACTGATGCAAATGCATCTCTTCCACACCGTAGGTACACACAAAATACGGTACGTGCTAGGATAGAAGTAGTTAAAAAAATTCGGGTTCGATTTCCATTGCCACCAGTGTAGCGCCCCGAGGCTTCCCACCTGGTGAAAGGAGATAGTAAGAGAGGCCATGCATTCCGAAGGGAACAGAACAATTTAGTGTGAGCATGGCTTGAATGCCAGCTCACTTGTAAAAGGGCCGGACAGTTCCTAACAGTGACACAAATAAAGCATTAAAGTAGATTCAGTAGAATGAAATACAAGAAATACCAGATCTTTAGTGCTGTCAGCGCTCAATGTCTGGCAACACATTAAAGATTAATTGGTGGCGGTTTGTAGTTTCAATTTATAAATTTATTGCATTTACATGCTTGACACTACCTTGCTGCTTTCAGTATCTTCAAGTCGGTGCAGCCAGTAAGGACCTTAATATTGGTTACATTGTATTCGAAGCGAAGTAAAAAGTCGCGAAATTGGTTGATGAATAGGCGCTATCCGTCATTAAGGGACAAGGGAAACCGAAGAATGATGCGCCTCTGGCTCATATTCTATGTAATGCACTTTCGTGCGCTGCAGGGACATTAGGAGCACCTGGATTCCAAGAGCAGCTGATGTGGTAATGCGGACATGGTATCCTTAATACAACCATTGCCTTACCGCCCGACGGTAATGCGTAACTGCAGCTGTTACCATGGCTTCGGCTTCCCATCCATGTTGCAGTTCCCATGCAACCGTCCCACACTTTAACATGCCAGCAGTCAGTGCTTTCAGTCACGTCATTTTGTGCCGTTTGCGGAAAGCCAAACGTTCCTCATCAAAGTCAACAGCAATGCGATTAGCACTTGCCGCTCGTTGCAAGAAAATCCAAACCTGCTCTTATTGGCTTATGATGCTAAAATTCCTTCATGAGTACTTCATTTGCATCTAAAACAGCTGTTTATGGACTGTGATGACTGCCCATATCACCATGCGTACGGCGACTATCGAATGTGATAGAGGAATGGATGACCGCGTAGGCACCTTCGTCATACTCCCCTTTAACCACTGTGAGGCGACTTCCTTACCTCTAAGTCTCTTAGTCATTGTTGGCAACGCTATACATTTCTTATGTTCCAATGACGTTCAGGGATGACCGGAATTACAAGGAAATGCCTGATTTAGTAGCCGTGGTTTTACTTAAGAACGTCTCAAGTATACGCTTGAAAACGGACGTTAAATGGCACGGAGTTCCGCAAAGATATGAACACAAATAAGCTGAACTAGTGGTCACTTTTGGAGTTGTCTGGCCCTTGTACTCGTGAGCTGGCCTTCGGGCCATGCTCAGATCCACTTGCTCTGTTCCCTTCGGAATATATGGATCCATCCTCAATAGCTGCCTTCTTCCACCCCATGGGAAGTCTCGGGACGCTACAGCGCGTGCCTATATAAGCAACTCTATGACTTTGTATCGAGTAAGAGGGGCAAATATGTTGGAATGGAAGGCAATTAGTTCTGCAAAGTGATAGCTGCAACGGATATTTAGTACAGGTATTTGGAATAAAATTCGTGAGTGGTTAACTTAAACTTAGGCAATGAGATATACTCACAACCAAGTGATTATATGTCACAATTAGATCGATTTGATTTTTGTCGTTAAATCCTAAAAAAAATTTTTATGAATGCAAGTAGGATAGACATAGCGAAAAGTATTAGTTCACACTTAATAGAAATGAAGCGAAAAATGGGGAAAATCAGTCAGGCTTGCCTAAAATGAGTCGGATCATTTGGAACATTCTTGTCATTGCAGGCGGAAAATTGTTTCGTTTCGTAGATTGAATTGGTGGCCGCTACCTTCGAAAGGCAACTATTGTGATGGTTGCGGGTTTGCTTGATCTCGTACGTGTCGATGCGGCATATGTTTTTGAGGTGCCATCTTCTCGATGCATCGTTTTTAATCCTGTGGAGTTGCTGTTCAATATTTTGAGGCGGTCTGCACAATTTGACAATGTTGGTGCATATGGGGTGGACTTGCTGCACGCTAGGGTCCTATTTGAAGATTTCATGAGAGAAATGCTTTGTTATGACGTGAAACTAATTCCTGTTGTGGATGGGATTTCGAATACAGGTGTAGGTCATTAGCTTCCATCGCTCTGATTGGGGTCTAGGTCTTGGCTCTCAGGTCTGTTGCAAGTAATTGTCGCAAAGCGAGTAAGCGTTACAAGGAAGCTGACCTTGATGTTGGAGCTGAGAGATACTGTGTAGGTGGTGAATTTTTCCCCTGTCAACGTCAGTTTGTTACGGACTGCTTCCAAGAGCTAGGTTGGCGTTGTGTTCAAACGAGCTACAATTCGATGTCCGTGTGTCTTGGAATTGCTTATTTTCTTGATTGTCCAGTTGCAAGTATGTCATCCCGGTACCTGCTTGTATCACGCCCGGAGATTTTGCCTGGGGAGGTTCAGTCCCTTACTGTAAATGAGTTAAAGCTTGTTGATCTGAGATCGGACTTCTACTGTGCAGATGAAGAGGAGGGGGAGTCAGTGTTTAAATTGAAAGTGTTTCATCCTGAATTGACTGTATTGAAGAAAGTGCCTGCAACGTCGCGACCTCTGATTGCATTGTTAATGGATTCGATCTTGATTCCTATACTTCCTGCCGCAATCAATGTCTGTCCGTCGGAATCAGAGTCTTATACGGCAGCAAGACTGCGGGCAGTGATTAATTGGGTTGCGGAGACTAATCCGATTCGTGTTCTCCAGACCATAATGGAGTCGGCTAAAGATGTCAAGTGCATGGACTACATCTCGGAAAACATATTGAGAATTCTGGGAAACTTTTGTCCTGACTTTGTGGAGGCTTCTCGATTGCTGAAGATGCTTGATGTGGGAGAGGGTGTACCATCACTGATGGCGTCGAAGAAGGGAGTTAGGGAGGTCAGGGAGCAGCAACGGCAGAGACCGTCGTCGCCAATGTACTTTTTCCAAACAGCAGCTGGGTTGCTGAAGGGAGCTGCGGAATTGGATCGTCCCGTTGACTTTCAGTTTCGGTGGCCTGTTGCACTAGTTCATCTGTACCGCTTTAACAGGCTGGATAAAATATTTCTTACAGCTTTGTACAACAAATATGGAGTGCTTTTACGCTATCAAAATGATTACCTCGTAGAATTTCCCAGCGCGTTTGGGCCGAGCAGAATCCTACGCTATGGTCACTACTGTCTAATAAAGGGAGTGGAAGAAGCGAACGGTCTCATCTCCAAACTAACTGGACTACGTCCTTATGCGAAGGAGATGTGCTACGAGGGGCATTTTCGTTACAAGATCTACCTGCTTGAGGTGAGGTCGATGCAATTGCC